CCGCGAACAGATCCATTCGGTGGCCCTTTCTCGTATGTTTTTTTTTTTTTTTCAAAATCAAGCGCCAGAGCTACGTAGTTAGAGGCCGAAATCGAAGATAACGTTTTTTCCCATTTTATATTTGGACAAACCGTTTGTAATCGAAACCCCAGGCTTGTATTGTTTTACGATCGGATCCGGAGTATTTTCTCTTATTCTTTTTCGAAAAATATTCTTGTCGAAAAGTGAGAAACAAATGGCAACGTGTAGGTGGGAGGGAGGGAGGGATTGGGGGATGATAAACAACATCATGTTTTGATGCAATCAATTTGTTGTTTACAACGACCACAAGTCCCTCCCCTACTGTTAACGCAAACGTTGCACCTCATTTCGATAGGAATTATCTGTAATAATTGCATGGGGAAAAATTTCTGATAGATATTTATATTTATATACTTGTCACGTTTTATAATTAATAGAAACAATGTTTTTTTTCATGGAACAATCTCACGCGTTCGTATCTTTCGTTACGTTTTTTCGTCATTTTAGAAATTATTATTATTATTATTATTATTATCATTATTATCATCATTCATTTAAATGTTGAAATATAATATTATCCGAATAAAATAAATATAATTTGCGTTGGGATTGATATAAAAAAAAGTATTTGTCAAAGTCAATATAATTCTTAGAAAGTTACGTCTTTGATTTGTACGTATTAGATTATTTTCCCATGCAATCATATAAACGTGGTGTTGCACTTTATCAAACGTTTTTAATCCACGGAATAAACGTCTCTTCGTAATATGTGTGTGCGTGTGTGTATGTAAATATATATATATATATATATATATATATATGTATGTGTGTGTATGTATGTATATATAATATTCTTTTTTTTTTTACGTGTCGCACCTATACTTTTTTGTGTTTTTATTTTTTTTCTATCACCACACGTGAAGGCCGAAAAAAATACACCATAAAAATCTTTACCGAAGGTCACTTTTGAGAGAGTTTGACGTTTATTTATTTATTTATTTATTTTTTTTTGCCGTTTTTTTTTCTTTTTTTTTTATTCAAAAATCTTTCCCTTTCCTTTTGTCTCGCTCTGACGCTCGTTTAAACATTCACGTAGTAAAAATGTTGGTACGGCGAATAAAGGCCATCGATGCATCCCCGTTATTTTTTTGTTTTTTTTTTGTTTTTTTTTTTTTTACGAAAGTTTCTCATCTCCAAGAAAACGCGATCGCGAGTTCAAACGTTAGGCGAAGGCCTCGAGTATATAATATAAATACATTATATATATATATTTTTTATTATTATTTTTTTTTTTATCGTAAGTATAATATAGTATATATTAACGATACGAAAGGAGAATAACGGAGAGAGGACGCGTGAAAATTCGCCAAACGATTGTTACATCCCTTTTCCAAAAACCCCCCCATGGCTTTAATAATTTTTCTTTGCACACGTTTGCTTTGTACCGAGATAAAAAAAAAAAATAGGAAAAAAAAAGAAGAATTTAGCAAGATCTTTCATTGTGTATCCTTCCTCCTATAATTTACCTTCGCGTTACAATACAATGGCAATTTAATCTAAATCCACCTACCTTACTTACAACCACCCACCCCCCCACACCCCACCCCAATTTTATTTATCTCTCATTTCTCTCAGCGCAATCAAACATCTTATTCGAAAGACGATATTTTTAACTTTGATTTTTTTTTCTTCTCCTTATTTATTATTTTATATCTGCTTTTAGCACAATCTCGAAATTTGTCATCGATTGTCGAGGAGGTTCGGGGTCCCGTTCGCAAAATTCACGCTTAAAGTGTAAAATTTTGAAAAATAGCACGATATCTCGACGAAATTGAATTCACCATCTTCTCTCTCTTTCTTTCTTTCTTTCTTTCTCTCTCTCTTTCATTTTCTTTCATTTTTCCTTTCACTTTTTTTTAAGTTTCTTTCTTTCCCACTTTCTTTCTCTCTCTCACTCTCATACATTATTTTTCTCATTCGTAATTTTATAGTCGCACACAGTTTATCGTTTTCTCTCTCTCTCTTTCTCTCTCTCTCTCTCTCTAACGTACACGTAGCATACACGCACAATAAATCATGAAAACATTCATGCAACATACATCATCATCATAATTATCTCACATTCTCTAATTTATCAAATTCATACAAATTTATTTATTTTTTGTTCTTTCTTTCTTGCTTGCTTTCACCGGGTCCTGTGTCACCATCACCAATTTTTGTCTCATCCCTAATCTCTAAACCTTATAATTTTTATACTTGGCATACCCCAAACATGGCAGGAAGGCAATAATTACACTTAATAAAGTACATCGATCATTATTATTTTTTTTTTTTTTTTTCTTCTTGTTTCGTCCCAATGTGTACTCGTCGTTCATAAAAAGACTTTAGTCGACTTTCTTTCTTTCTTTCTTTCTTTCTTTTTTACATTCTCTCTTTCTCTCTGTCTTTCTTTATTTCCACTTTGTCTAATTTTCTTTAACTCTCTGTATCTGTTTATTTCCCTTTCATTTTCTTTCTTTCTCTTTCTCTCTCTCTCGCTCTCGCTTTATTCGGTAGACAATCGTAGGGTGAAATTTTGTACATCTTTCTTGTATGTCAATTTGTGTGTAGTGTACGTGTATGTATGTATCTATGTATGAATGTATAAGCGTGTATTTTTTTCTTTCTCTATTACAACATTCTCTTTCTTTCCTTGTTTTTTTCTTCTTATTATTATTATAATATATTACTCGCGAGTGTACGTGGATCAGAAAAAATTGCACACTGCATTTTACTGATTACAAAAATTATCGTTTTACGCGGCGCAGTCGTCTCTTTTTTTTTCTTTTTCTTTTTCTTTTTCTTTTTCTCTTTCTCTTTCTCTCTACCTTTTATTTCTATTTTTTCAAAAATTACCTTTTGTTCAGAATATTTTCTTTTCTTTTAATCATTCTTTCAACTTCTTTACTTCCCTTCTATTTACCTCGAAAACATAAAAATTGATTTCTAAGACGAATTATAATATAAAGAGAAAATAGGAAGAAGAGAGAAACGAAAATGTGGGCTATTGGTTGGGGGTTGGATTAGGGGTGGGCTTGAGATTGGGGTAGGAGGAGGTTTATCAGGTTGGGGGTGGGAGGAGGATGAGAATTTAACGATACGCCACGTTTCCACGATCCAGTAATAAGGCAGTGAACAATCATAAACTCCCATCATACGTCTTTCTATTTCTTTCTCTCTTTTTCACATGCAATTTTTATTCTTTTATTGTATTTGTTCTCTGTTCTTTGTGCGTGTGTATGTTAAATGTATGTATGACTCTTGGTGTATCCGGAGGTTGTTGTGAGACTACTTTTGGGTCGCGAAAAAAGCCGCAGGCCGGTTGTCGTCGTCATCGTCGTCATCTTCGTCATCGTCGTCGTCATCGTCGTCGTCGTAACAAATCTCTCCTCACATCATCTCCGATCACGACGCGACTATAATTCATTAATAATCGCATTATTTTATTCTTTTTTTTTTTTCTTTTTTTTTTCTTGTTTACGAATAATCATTAATTTTAATTTATACATTTGGCATTAAAAGTACGGCTACTATTTTATCGTCATATACAATTATCGTTAGCGTAGGTATAAATTTGGTATACTTATGCAGTGTAATTTATTTATTTATTTATTTATTTATTTTTTTTTTTTCTTGGGGGGGGATTATGACTTGTGAACGTGTGTGTGTGTGTGCGTGTGTGCGTGTCTTTTTCTTTTTTTTTTTATAATAGCGAGTAGAGAGAAAGGTGGTAATGTTAAGTGTGAGTACCTGTTGTTAAATTATTTATATTCGTTTTTTCGAATTAAAGAAGAAGAAGAGACACGCTAATGCAATATAAATATGTATATGCGCATACACACACACACACAGCCATACACGATAGGAGTGCTGCATCTTCTGTGTATATTCTTTCTCTTTCTCGCTAATTGATTGTACGATTGTTACAAACTTCTTCGTTCCTTGTTTCTTTTTTGGAAAAAAATTACAAAAAAAATTACAAAAAAAAAAAAGAAATAAAATAAAAATAGACAAGAAAGGAACATACACGCACGATATGAAACCGTTGCGCGCAAAACCATATACATTTTCATCGAAATTTTTGATCCATCATGTGCCTAATGTTGTTCTTTTTGAAAAAGAAGTTTGTATACATGTACGCGCTCGTTTATCTATGTATTATCTGTATATTTGTTTATGCATTTATAATTTTTGTTTACTAATGTATGCAATTTGTGTGTTCTGTTGAATGTTCCTGATGATGATGCATTGTTGTTGTTGTTGTTGTTGTTGTTGTTGTTGTTGTTTATTTTATATTATTTTTTTTTTTTTTGTTTTACTGAAGTGAGTAGCTGGTGATTATGGTGGTGGTGGGTGGNGCTACGATCCTTTATTATTTTATATTTTTTCTTTCTTTCTATCATTTTTTTTTTCTCTATCTTTTTACTATCTTTCTCTCTCTTTCGCACTCTTTCGCTCTCACTCTCTCTCTCTCTCTCTCTTTTTTTTTTTTCTGGAAGCAAATCGAGTGTGTGATAATATTTCGTCGCCGATCGTCGCCGACTCGCTTCATCGACGACGAAGACGACGAACACAACGAAAACGACGACGACGACGACGACGACGACGACGACGACTACAACGAAGAGGAAAAAAAAAAAATTATTCGGCGACGATCGACGACGCAGCTTTTGAACGACGAATCCTGCTTTTCACACGATAGTAGTAGTTTTATTTATTTTTTTCTTTTTTTTTTTCTCTCTCTCTCTCTATTATCTTCTCTTTCACACACATTCATTCTAATTTTCTCTCTCTCTCTCTCTCTCTCTCTCTCGCTCGCTCTTTCTACTTCGCTTTTTCCTACATTTTCTTATTATTATCTTCTCGTCGTCCGCTTCATCTTTTTTTGATTCTAAGTCTCTCTCCCCCCTTCTTCTTCTTCCTCTTTCTCTCTTATTCCTCTTCATCTAAACTTATTCGCGAAATTTTTCATCCCTCTCGCGCGCGTTGTTGTTTCCTAGAAATAATTTTTTTTATTCTTTTACAAGAGTTTTTAGCAACGCGACTTTTTAATCTTTCTTCATGTTTTTTTTCCCTTTTTTTTCTTTTCTTTTTTTTCTCTTTGCTTCATCTTCTTCGTCTTCTTTATCTTCTTTATCTTCTTCTTCTTCTTCTTCTTCTTTTACTACTACTTCTCATTTTCAATAAAACTTTATTATTTCACGTAGAACTCACCGTAAATGGGGGCGAGATTAAACGCATAGAGTTTGTACGTGGCGTTCTAGCGGCGAAAAAAAAAAACCCCACGACGAAACAAGGCTCTCGTCGATATACTCGACAATATTCGTAGAAAAGTCCTCGCACGAATTTTTATATCTCCGTTATACACTCATTCTCACTCACTCACACTCTTTCTTTCTCTCTTTTTTTCTTTCTTTCTTTCTCTCTCATTGCGAGCTGCTCTATATTCTATCTTTCTCTCTCATTCGAGAGTCGTCTTCTCCTCCTCTTCTTTTTTTTTTTTTTTTACAAGAAGATCGCTTCTTTATTCCCCTCCTCTTACTCCTCCAACTTTTTCTTCTTCTTCTTCTCCTATTTGAACCTCAAAGTGTTCTTCGAGAAATCCCGGAGTACCGAAAGATGAGAGAAGAGCGTCTTGTGGTCCGTCGAACGGAAAATCTTCGTCACTTTCAACCAACCTCTTTTTCTTTTTCTTTTCTCTCTCTCTTTCTCAATATATATCTTCCTTTCTCTATCTCTTTCCATCTTTCACGTCTCGACGGACAGAAAAAGCCTACTCTCTCTCTTCCTTTCACTTTCTCCCCTTAACTTTTTCTTCTTCATCATCATCATCATCTTCTTCTCCTCCTCCTTTTTCCTCGGCATCTAACTTCCTCCTCTCATCATCTTCTTTACTCTACCCCCTTTCCCCTCCCCCTTTCCTACCGCCCTTTTGCCCACCTAAATCTCCCCATCCTTTTCTTTCCTTTCCTTTGCACTCGGTTCTTTTATTAGTTGCTTTGCTCATCACTCGCTCTTTCTCGAAGAGTCGTAAATCGTCGCATACTATTCGCAACGAGAGTCAGTTAAGGGCTCCAACTTGACTGGTATCTTGTCCTTGTCCTTGAGACTGTGGGGACTTTTCACGAGGTCGGCAATGTCCTCTTGAAAAAGATTCTCAGGTCTTGGACTGACAAAGCTTCGTGCCGGTTTATACGTCATACCACTTACACCGATACCAACTTCTACGCTACCGGGTATATGTCCAGGATCCATCAATGGGCCCAATGGACTCGCTAATGGACTTTCCATTGGACTTTCCGGTGGACCACCGGAACCTGGACTCGCCAGGCCTAAATTCAAAGGTGAATTGCCGGTATTGTTACCACCGCCGCAACCGATCATTCCACCTCCGTTGTTACCGAGAATACTCGCGTTATTGTTGTTGTGATGTTGACTCGCCTGCATCGCAGCTTGCAAATTTGACGAAAGACTCGTCGATAAACTCGTCGATAGGTTAGTCGCCATCATATCGTGCTGCGAGTGGGCTGCTGCTACCATGCTACACATTTGATGCCTTAAACCTACAAATAATTCAATCAATTATAATATCATTAACACATATCACAGTTTTATAATTAATCATCATTTCTTTAAGTTAATATCAATTTATTGATCTCATATGATATATATATTGTATATTATAAATGAAATTGATTATTAATCGAATAGAAAATTATTTAGAAATAAAATACCTTGAGCAACAGCAGCCACCGCCGCAGCTGCAGCAGCCCCAGGACTGACTGCACCTTCCGGTCCATTGCAAGCTGCATAATTCGCCAAAGTCGGATACATCGAGGTTGGTTCTTCCTTAACAATATGGGGGGAATGACCGTCTCTGAAGACAACTGCACGTATTACACCACGAATGTGTTCGTCCGGCCAAACGCCGAGTAAAATCCTTTGGGGTCGTCCTCTGCCCTTTGGCCGCAAATCTATATTAATTTGTATCCAACAAAAATTATTTTCATTTGTATCTAAATGGTGGGTCAACTTCGTTTCTAGTTTTTTTTCCCCCATGTATAAAAACACATGTTTCGATTTTCGAAAATCGAAACGAAGTGACACGAAGGAATAATTTAAAAAGGGTTAACACTCACCGGCTCCTCCATCAGCACTAGGACCCAACATGTTGTGTACTCTGTTCGCGTACAATACGAATGTCGGATAAGGGATGTCGTATTTTCTGCGAAGAGAAAAATATATTATTAATTAAATAATATAATTATCATTATATATCGAGAATAAAAAAAAAAACATTTCTATATTAGCGAACGCGTATCATTTTCTGTTTCTCAAGCAAACGTACGTATATATCTTGCGTTTTGTTCATTTTTATCGGGCAAAAATTTATCGCGCTTATATAAAAAAAAAAAAAATGCTATATAACATAGAAAATATAATATAGTTCAATGTTAACTAAATATTATTGCTTATAATAAAAGAACCGTTAATTGAAGAAGAAAGAGAAAAAGAAATAAAGAAACTATGAAATCGAAGATATCTACGACTTTCTGTTAAAAAAGTAACTACACAACACACACACACACGTACACACAGATATATACATATATACACATATGTTATATGTCTCAAGATCGATCATTCATTTTTATGAATTCAACTAACCTACTTCGAAGCAGTTAATTCCAAGAAATGACATATGTGTATACAGATATACACACATACACCCACATTCACACAGAGAGATAGATATGGTAATATGTAATATGTACAAAATCGTCTAGGCAAAACTATTTTGTTTTTTTTTGTTTTTTTATTCTTCTTCTTGTTACTTTTTTCCCTCAAAGAAATTTCTCCGTTTCGAATTCGTGCGAGAGAAAGAGAGAGAAGGATAAAAAAAAACATAATAAATCCATGGAAATTCGAGGGACATCATACTACGGCATAAGGTAGATAAGTAGGTGTGTACGTGTACAAGAAGAACACATAAAACTTCTTTCTTCTCTCTTGGACTATTTATTCGTTACTTGTTTTCTTGTTTACTTTTTGTTTTTTTTCTATTTTATTACGGGACTCTTCTTACGCGCGAGTAAGTATTTGTATTATAAAAAATTATAATGGTAACACAGTGTGCTATAACTTTTCGAAAAAATTATCAGGGTCAGTGTGTCGCGGATATTTTCTTCAAAATTTATTATACATAAACCGGAAACTTCGTTCTTATTTGTATATCATGTCTGTAGAAATATAAATTGTAGAAAATTGGATAGAACGTTTAATATAATTTCTCGTTTTTTTCTTTTCTTTTTTAAATTAAAATATCGAATTAAATATTAGAAAATGAATCGTTGCAATATGACCGGTATACCTCTCTCTCTCTCTCTCTCTCTCTCTCTCTTATTTGATTATTCTTCATAATTTTAATTTTTTCTTTCTATCGAACGAAATATTTTGTTTTAAAAAAAAAGAAGAGTAAGGGGGGGGGGTTGAGACGGGGAAGGAAAGAAAAAAAAAACTTGCCTCGCTGCTTGACTCAATGATAATCCTTCCTTGAGGACACTGAAGATCGCTTCCGCCATCGTTTCCGGTCTCCAGGATTTCAGTGGGCCACGTTCACGGAAGCGTAGATTGTGGACCAAGCTCTGATTGGTGTTCCAACATTTTTGCCACATCGACTGCAGTTGATACTGGTAACTGTCTGCTAGTTAACGTCCCCCCGTGGAAAAAAAAAAGAAACAGAGAGAAAACAATTAGTCAATGGTTTTTTGTAAACGCCAAATAAATGTGTACATACATATACATATGCGTATCACGCGTTGCGTATACGTATATGTATAAAAAAAAAAAAACACCGCATAGAGAGATACTATAGTACTCTACAAATGGTATTACCACACACACACATACACACACACATATATACACAAGGAATAGCGAAACGTTTTAAAAAATTCCGATTTAATTTCGGAATTTTTCGTTCTCTTTATTTGTGCATTTTTTTTTTTCCTTTTCTTTTCTCTCTCTCTCTCTCTCTCTCTCATTCTCTCTCTCACCCTCACCCTCTCTTTTTTAGTTGTTACGTATTAATTTCTACGCGTGTTTCTCGTTTATGCTCGAAACAAAAGACAAAATAAAAAACAAAAAAGAAAATAGAAAAAAAAATTATATATATATATATATATATATATATATATGTGTGTGTAAAAAATTAACGCCCAACACACGTCAATAGAAACGACGACGCGAAAAAAAAGCCGACGTGGCGTTATTTTTTTCCCCTTTTCTTTTCTTTTCTTTTTTTTTTCTTTTTTTAAATTTTTGTTTAAATATAATTTCGTTTTTTGTTTCTTGTTTGTTTTTTTTTTTCAATCAATAGTCAATACTTTTTCGCCTCGATCTCCCATGTATGCATCTCTTTCTCTTACTTTTTCTGTATACCTTTTACATTGTTTGTAGATTTGCCTGTAAAATGAGAAAAAAATTTTTTTAAGAAAAATAAAAAATATAGTTTGCAAAGGTTTTTAGGGGAATTATTATATAAGACTCGTTAATTATATTATTATTACATAATTTATCGATTGTGTTGTTGTTGTTGTTGTTGTCGTAAATTTATACAATCGTTACAAAAGTTGCGTTTTCAATTTGTTACAAAAACAAAGCGCGCAATCTTTTATAAAGAAATGAAAAGAAAAAAGAGAGGAAACGTATAATAATAATAATAATAATAATAATATTAATATTAATATTAATAATAATAA